ATATAGTAGTTCCAATTTCGTAGGGGTCCTGGGAAAACAAAATGAGATAATGCAAGTAAATCATGTATCATGATGTCTGACACATGGCAAGCACTAACTAGTAGCTGCTCTCATTATTGCAATTATTATTATCAATTAATCTGGAAAGATTTTAACAAGACTTTATATTTGGTAGGTGCTTAACAAAATATATTCAAAATCTCACTTCATTCCTACTCTGATGGTGATAATGTATCTAGAACAAGTATCAGCTCCATTTTACAGTTGAGAAATAGGCTCAGAAAGAAAAATGTCTCTTACGAGCTATGGTACCATGAATTACTTTTCCCAGCTTCATATCTCCCCTAGATGACTATATAATTGAGTTAGATGGGAAATTATTATTATCAGAATTTATAAGAAACATGATTAAAGTATATAGAATTAATTATGTAAAATGCTTTTTGTAGATTTTGAAAATGAGCCAAGAAAAAATTGAAATCTTTGAAAGTGAGTCATCAGAAGGAAGGAGAAGGCAATTGACATCTGATTTTAATATTATACAGAAGGCTTTGAAGGTTGAAAGTGAGGTATTTTGCCACTCAGGATGTTATTTCCCTCTTTTTGCATTCCTACTTTAGGGATTTCATGTTACCATTTAGTTTGACTTTAAAATAAATCGTAGCTATAGAATATGTGTTTCTGTTAGTAATAATGGGGTGAGTGTCCTTTCCACAAGCTGAGTTCCAGCACCAGCCAAAGAGGGGCCTTTAAGTAGCAGGTATTTGATTATTATGGTGGTCATAGAGTCATGGACTTGTCTCTCCTTTTAACTGCTTGTCCTACCATCTTGGAAAGGTCTATCAGGAGACAACCAGCCTATATTTGGAAGAGAGACCTGGAAGTGAGTCCATGGAAGTCTAGATCACCAATTTAGAGGATGGTGACTCTTAATCAGTTTGCAGGGTGAGTGACAGCCAGTGCATTGCCCCAAATCCCATCCTGATGACCTACAGGAATTTTTAATGCAATGAGGTAGGAAACTGATACCCCTTGCCCTCTTCCTGTGGTTTTGGGTGGCCACTCTCTATTTTCTCTCCTTTTTGCCCAACGCCTTCCTCATCAACACTCTCTTCCCCTTCTGATTTCAAGGTTTTGGGAAAATACCAAGTAACTCCTCCCCTAAAGTAAATTTCATATCACCTGTTCCCTTCATAGGGCACCACAGATTCTCAGGTCCTAGTCGTCCACCAACCAAACTGTATGTTCCATGTCATCAATGTAGAAATTTGATAAGAATCTACATATAACTGAAGTGTTTGCTCTCACGGATATAGAGCTTCTGAAAAAATCAGAGGCTTAGAGGAAACCCTAGTTGATTAAGTCACTGAATATACATTATTAAGTAAGGCAGCATAATTTGTAGTTAAGAACACAGAGTTTGAAGTTGGTCAGACAGTTGAATTTCAGCTTTACCACTTCCTAGCTATGTGAATTTAGGCAGGCCACTTACACTCTCTGAGCCTGTTTCAGTAACCCAACTGCATGGGGTTGTCACAAAATTAAAGGCATGGTTGTTCTGTAAAAGGTAACTTTAAAAAAAGATACATGTTAAAACAGGTAATATAACTAATGCAGGAGTTGCTGAAGAATTTACCTCTCTAGAAGCCTTGCTGAAAGTAGGAATGACTCTAGAAGTCCAGTGAATGATAGAAACCAAGAATGCTCAGTTTAATTAATTGATTTAAGTAAACTTTAATTACTAAGAAAGTAGTTCTTCCAGAAGAATAAGTTGGAATATTTAAAACACAAAAAATTTGTGAGAGTCATTTCAAAGATTCCTCTTTAGAACTAAGTATTATATATTTTATGCGGAAAGTCTTATTTTATTTTACTAAATATCTCTATTTCTTAATCAGGGATTGCAAAAACCAAAGTCAGAACTTAGATGCCTTTATAACGAAATTCAAAGTCTTCCATCAAAAGACAGAGACTATTTTTTAATAGCATATAACCTGCTACAAAGAGAGAATTCTGAATTAGAAACAAAGGTGAGACTGAATTAATTATTTGAATGTTCAGTGTTTGACTTTATCTTTTATTAGGATAAGATAAAAGGAAATTAATTTTCAGGAAGAGATGACTTGGAAATTGGGGTTTCTTTTATCAGTATAGAATAAATTGTCATATAGTTAGTAGGTTATAAGCCAAGCTGCATCTCAGAATAGACTTCAACCAGTACTTCACTCTTAGGATTACTCTGTTAATTTTTTACTTTAAATCAGTTTCCCAACAGCTTAATTTTTGGAGCACATATTATAATGTAAAAGGTTTACTTAAAAATAGAACTACCAAATGATCCTGCAATTCCACTATCTGGGTATATACCCAAAACAATTGAAAACAGGGTCTTGAAGAGATAATTTGCACACCCATTTTCATAGCAGCATTATTCACAATAGCTAAAATGTGGAAGTAATCCAAGTGTTCATTGATGGATGAATAGATAAGCAAATTGTGGTATGTACACACAATGGAAAGTTATTCAACCTTAAAAGAGGGAAATCCTGCAATATGCTACAACATGGTTGAATCTTGAGGACATTATACTAAATGAAATAAGCCAATCACAAAAACACAATACTGCATGATTCCAATTATGTGAGGTACTTAGAGTAGTCAAAATCATAAAGACAAAAAGTGCAATGGTAGTTTCAGGGGCTGGGGGAGAGGTCGAGTTAATTATTATTAAACAATAACAGGTATAGAGTGTGTTTTATAAGATGAAAAGAGTTCTGGAGATAGATGATGGTAATGGTCGCACAACAATGTGAATGTATTTAATACCACTGAACGGCACACTTAAGTGTGTAAGGTTAAGATGGTAAATTTTATGTTATGTGTATTTTACCACCACCCCCAGAATTCAAAACAAACAAAAGTTTACTTAAATGTCTTCATCCTTAAACCTTCAAATCAAAGCATTTTTTTTCAGTTATACTGAAAATTAGGTTCATACTTAGAATTAGGAAAATGTTTAAATGTCCTGACCCCAATGTGTTCCCCAAGTATAAAAATGGCTGCCAGACTAGGGTTAGATGGAGAGGTTGCCTGCAGGGTGATTCCTGGAGTCCCACTTATCATTAACTACAACTGGCTGAAAATTCTCTTTCTCAGTTACTCTTGGTCTTGATTAAAATGGTAGGAAGGAGTGAAGGCTTGAACACACAATTAAAATATATTGGGTTGTATTTCCATACCACATGTGAAATGGAGGACTAAGTCCAAGCCTCATTTATCCTCTCTGAAGTTGTTATCCTGAAAGCAGGGTGCAAGTTGTTGAGGGATTGGGACATAGATCAAATAGTATGTGACCTAGGGAGGGAAAGGTCCAGAGCATAGGTTTGCTACCTGCAAAGGTGGATACATGGGGCACATCCTATAACTAAGCTTTATTTGTGGGACTTTGTCAGCAAAGTGAATTATCATCACACTGTACAATTAAAGGATCTTGTCTTATGAAATATCACTGGACAGCACAACACAGAAGATGAACTGAGGCAACAGGAATATAATGTAAAAATGAGAGATCCAGATCACTATCCTGGTAATCTGGCTCTCCCTTGTTCTCTCTTTTAAAAAACATTTTATTTTGAAATAATTTCAGACTTACAGAAAAGTTGCAAAAATAGTACAAAGAATTTCCATGTACCTTCACCCCTTCAGTATTAGTATGGTACCACATTTGCTTTATCACTCTCCCTCTCTCTCCCTTTCTCCAAAAATACCCTTCTTTAAAAATCATGGATTTATGCATCCTTATGCCTATGGTAAAAATGGATTAGATTACATAATGACCCCAAAGTGTTAAGTTAAATTAGAAGAAGACTTCAAATAGGATGTCAATTTATATTAATTGTCAATAATTATTTAAGCATTTAATGGACTCAGTGTACTTTCTCATAATTATATATTAGAGTATACAAAATAGGATATTTGTCTTCTCACTTTACAGGTCTTGAAGGTTTCACAAGAATTTGAACAATTAAATCATTTTATTGTAGGGAGAAAAACTGCACGTGCTAATTTAATTACAAGTGAAAATATCTGTAAAGATCTTGTGTCTAAACTACCAGTTTTGGAAGTAGAGATTCAAAGCCCAAAGGAAGAGAGAGAGGAACTCTGGTAAATTGAGAAAGTCCCATATCACATTAATTATTTGGGGGGTACAATTACTGTATTTGGCTTGATCATTGTAAGAATTTGACATTCATTTCCAAATGATGTGAGTGGAAAAATTAATTATAAGCAAGCATTCCCCTAAGGAGTTTGTCTTTTGATATATTATTACATTTTTAAACCTTTTCTTGCTTTTTAAAATAAATTTGTGCTTTTTGTGGAAAATTTGGAAAGCATGGAAAAATAAAAGGAATGATAATAACCCATAGTTTCAGTAGGGAAATTTGTTAATGTCCTAACTTAGACTATATTCTGCCAAGAGGTTTTTTGCTGTTTTTATTTAACATTGTATCTGATAATCATTTTGATAACCTTTTCTTTCTTCCTTCCTTTCTTCCTTCCTTTCTTGTTAATCTTGCCCTCAAACTCTTGTATTTCTGCTTTTTCAACAGAAGTATCTTTCACAGCTTTTGAGACTTTTGGCTAATGCATTACTCTGCTTTGGCACAAAAACTAATAGATGCAATCAAGTTTTGTCTGGGCAAAATCCTAGAACTAGATCATCAGAAGAAATAATAGATGGCAATTTTGATATGTATACTATATACTGAGGGATACATCATCAGTGAACTAGGAAAATATGGTCTAGGTGCAGCCAAAGTTCTATCTTTGTAAACATCTTAACGTAGAAGGAGGGTTTTTGTTTTTTGGGATTTTTGCTAGTTTTGGACTGCTGAATTTTATGCTTTCCTAAAAGTTGCTTTTAACTTTAGAGTGTGCTCTGAGTCCAAGATTCACAATCATGAAACCTAGTTGCAGAAGTGAGAAAAGCATATTAGAGACATGGTGGGGAACAGGCATGATAGTGGTCACAAGAGCAAAGAGCGAGAAGGTTGGTCACAGCATATAGGTTTGCTATAGGGGAAAAAGGAAGTCTAGTTCTTGAGCATTAGAATGGTGTATTACCAGGTTTTTAGGGAGATTGTTCTAGTATCTCTAGAAGAGATAAATTGAAGAAGAAAAACAGACCTATTAATCCAGATATGAGCCGCAGATGAAGAGATAGTGGCCTCGATTGAGTAGGTGGCAATTGAGTTGAAGTGGCCACTCTGAACATCCTTCAGAGAAGATGTTGACGTTAATTATCAAAGCTGACAAAAATCCACCCAGCTGACTTGGGATCGTTGGTAGGGATACTTGCCACAGGGAGCAAGGCTGTGGCCTTTATTCCATTGGAGGTGGGGAACCTTGCCATGATAAAGATCCTGGACTTCTCTCTAAAGAGCTCCTTGCTGCCACCTGTCTCCATTACATGGTCCAAATTACTTCCCATCACTGGGACTGTGAGAAGTCTACGTATCTGCCCTATGCTTCCCTTATCACCTCTTTTTGGAATGTTTCCTCGCTTTGTATCTCCTGTGCCCCACTTCACAGCCTCCATTTATCTCAGATCCATTACACAATCACATTTGACAGTAAAATTGTGTATCTACCATGTGCCAGGTACTGTAGGGAGATACTGAGGATACAAAATGAGATAATAGCTCCTACCTTCATGGTCCATATAGCCTGTGGGGGGAAGATAGACAATTAAACAAAGCAGTATTGGATACTATGGGAGCACAAAGGAGGTGCCCTGGTCCAGGCTAAGAAATCAGAAAATATTCTTAAAGGAAGTAACAGACTGAGTCCTGAAGTATAGATAACGCAAGGCCAAGCAAAAAGGTGAGAGAGTAATTTTCAGGGGGAATATGACATGTGCAAGAGAAGGCATGATTTGTTTGAGGAACTCAGTGACCTCGGTGGAGCTAAAGCACAGAGCATGAAGAGAAGAAATGGGGAAGGAGACGATGAGAGTGAGGAAGTAGGCAGGGACCTGATCACGAGGGAACATGAGTGCCCGCATGGGGAAGTTTGGACAATAGGAAACTACCGCAGGGTTTAGTAACATGGAAGAGACCAAAATAGATTTCGCCTGTTCACTTGGCCTGCTGTGTGGATAATAGATTGTTAGTATAGGAATGAAGGTAGTGAGACTAGTTTGGAGGCTGTTGCTATAATCTGGTGAGAGAGGAGAGTGTTGGTGAGGATAGAGAAAAGTGGATGGAAATGGATCAACAGGACTTAGGGACTAATGAGTATAGGAAGTGAGGAAGAAGGTATGGTAGGTGGGGACTTGGGTATTAGCAGAGGTTAAGGGAGACTTTCAAGTTTCTGGTTTGATGGTGTTATCCATTGAATTAGGGAACACAGTTTTGAGGGAAGCGGGAAAGGAGTGCAACTTTTGATACGTTGACTTTGAAGTGTCTTTAAAACAGCCATGCCAAGAGCAAAGCCTGGGCTGGAGGTAAATTTGAGAATCATCAATAAGTAGATGGTAGCAGAAGTCCTGTGATGGATGAGATGGTCCCGTAAGTTGCTTGATGAAGGTACCCAAAGGCAGAAATGTAAGGGAAGCCTCTCTATAAGAGACAAAAGGAATTAACCCCAAAGTTAACGTAGACAAAACAGCCAGAGAAGTAGAAGAAAGGTCAAGAGAGTGTGTGTTACAGAAGCCAGATTAGAGAGTGTTTCAAGAAGAAAGAAATAGTAAATAGTGTTATGTACTGCCAAGAAAATAAAGAACAAAAGGTGACTACTTAATTCAGGATTAAGAATGTGGTTGAAGACTTTAGTAAGAGTTGTTCCAATGAAGGGCAAAAAACAAATGGCTTCCTAGATCACATCTCATGGGATGGTAAATGGGAGTGAACTGAGGAGTGAGTGGAATTTGAGGAAGTAAAAATGGTGAGTGTGGATGCCTTCCAAAAAGTTTGGTTGTAAAGGAAAGAAGGGAATATGGAGCTGAGGTAAGAGGAAATGTGTTGTGTTTAACGACTGAGCCACCCAGGTGCCCCAAAATGTGTTGTGTTTAAATGCTGAGAAAGAGTCCCCAAATGGACAGGTTTAGGATTCCAAATACCAGAGGGGGACTAGCCTTAGGAGATGGGCCACCTGGTCCATTATAACAGGAGGAAGAAAGGGAGGATGGACAGAGATCCAAGTGAGTTTTTAACCTGAGAGGAAATCAAAGAACTTGTTTGATAGTTTGTGTCCTCTGTGAAGTAGAAAAGAAAGTCATGTGCTGAAAGAGAGTAATAGAAATGTCAGAGTGAAAAAAGTTTGAAATAATAACTGTGGCAATTGGAAAGGAAAGCTTACTAGGGAGGCCAGGTAGTGTTGAGGGCCCAGTTAAGGCTAGAGACTGTGACTTTGTATGGCATTTGTCTTTGAGAATATGTGGTGTGGGGGGCAACATTTAGTATAGGCATGAGAAGACAGTTGGATTTGTCCAGGGCTAAGGTTTTGCCACATGAATGCAGTGGAAGGACGATGGGGGGAAGAAAGCTGAACATTTTATTTAGACAGTGATTAAAATAATGAACACTAGGCTTGGGGTGTCTGGGTGGCTCAGCTCAGGTCTTGCTCTCAGAGTCATGAGTTTAAGCCCCTGCACTGGGCTCCATGCTACTTAAATAATAATAATAATAATAACAACAACAACAAAAACAAACACTGGGCTCTACATTGGATAAAGAAGCAAGTAAAGGGAGCTGATAGAAAAAGAGACAAGGAATTGAAGGTATTTATGTAAAAAATATGTAAAAAGGAAAAGCTGAAATCTGGATATCTAATTTTAGTTATTTCAGAAGTGAAGTGTTTGCTGCTGATACAAGCCATGGTGTGGTTATTCAAATAGTTGGCAAAGAGGGAGACATGAGGAGATAACTGGAGATAAGGAGACGGAGGAAGTGAGATGCCAAGGCATTGGTGGGTGATCTGTATGGTCCTTGGAATCTTCCAGGATGTTGGCAGGACTTGGGGTGAAGAAGATGCCAGAAAGCCATGAGCAAACATCTTCCACTGAAAAGAAGTAGAAAGTGTTAGAGCACACCTAGCATGGTCCCGTGCACATAGAAGCTGCTCCATAAGCCAAGCTGATGGATTCTTGTAGTACATCTCTTCTCCTAGATTTTAGCTCCTTTAAGGTAATGGACTATGTCTTGTTTTTCTGTTGTGTATGGTGCTTTTCTTATAGAGTAACAAATCTTACAACAGGAGGGACCTGCAAATCTTCTTCTAGTGGTTTTCACACTTTGGCATTCCAAGACTCTAGGAGCTCTATGGGGGGGAGGGCTCAGAAACTGCCTTTGGAGATGAGGAAAGATTGATGAGTGGGACTGGGAGCCCTCCACTCACATTTCAGCCAGAGAAGACCCACTTTATCTGTTTCATATGTGGAATTCTGTATAAGATTTTACTTCAAGAAAGGGGCCACAGCTAAAATGTTTGAAAACCACTGCTATTTAGCTAGTCTTCTCCTATCACAGAAGAGGTCTCTGAGACCAAGAGAACTGAAATGCCTATTCCAGTTACAGTCACATACTTAGCAAGTTATCAGCGAGACTGCAGGAAGTCCCAAGTCTCCTAACTCTGAGTCAGAGGTTACCACTTTTTCTGCTTTGGAGAGGACATAGTCACAACTATCTCAAGGGCTAGAAGGTGCTGGGACACTTGGGTTCTATGTAATTGCTATGAAAGTGAGCTTTATGGTATTAAAAACTGCTCAGGACTCAGTCTTTGTTTATGCATGACATGGGGTGGGATGGGGGAATGAAGTCCAATCTGTCTTGTTCTGGACTCTCTCCAGTGTCTAGAACAATGCCTTTAAAAATATTGGAATGAATGGAAATTTCCTCCTACCCCCACTGTGTACTTGCAGTAGAACCCAAAGTTGGACTTCCAATGGCAGCCCTAAGCTTACAGAGCCCAGCTGATCTCGCCTGGGTTTGCTTTGTTAGGAAGCTTGGGCCCAAGAGCAGTTGGTAGCTTCCCTTGACCTTAATGCCTTAATGAGCTGTATTTTTTTCTAACACACTCTCATTCACCATCTCCTTGCATTCTTACTACCTTTATCAAGAAGTATGTGGTAAGTGTTCAAGTTGACTTATGTTTCCAGTTCAACC